GGGGTAAAATGGATATATTTAGGTTGTTTTAGGAAACGTGCTTTCAACCTCACTATGCTGTAACAGAAAACGCCCTGTCCCTACCACAAAACTTCCCCTATTAAACATCACAAAGTGTCCCATGTTTTCTCACACTAGTGCCCCTTTGAGAACAATTAAGGCCACACTTCCAGAAAAGGGTGTATTTATCCTGAGGCATGCATGCATTCATACGTGTGTGTGTAACTTCATCATGAAATGTGTGTCCCATGATAAGTAATTTAAAATATTATTCTTGTTAAAATAAACACAGGTATTATCATATAAAATGAAGTTACATTAATTGTTCAAGTCCAATATGGGATTGAAAAAAGTGTCTCTCCCTCATTTGACTGATTTCCCCCAAACACATTTCCACTGGCAGAAATTAGCCCGGAAGCTAAGGTCAGCAGCCCAATCACGGAGAAGCAGACTCAGAAAATCACAAAGCTTTGAAAGTCTCACCATCAACAGATAAAGATCAACATGATTTTATTTATTCAAAGCAAGCCATCTAAGCTGTAGAAGTGCCCATTCTTCTGGTAATGGTATGAACAGAAAACCAGTTTAGAGGTATTATAAGAAAGTCTCAAAATGTGTCGAAAGGTTTTTTTTTTAGATAAAGGAGTTGATTAGTAAGAATTTATTCATTCATTCAGTGAATAATTATTGGGCCCCTACTATGTACCAGGCATTGTTCTATCCATTGAGGTCAGAGCTATAAACTCCTCTGCTCTCATGGAGTTTACATTCTAATGGAAGAGACAGACAAGAAACAAAAAAGTATACAACATAATGTCTGGTATAAAAAGTGCTCTAACAAAAGTAAAACAGGCGGTGTGACTGCTAGGAAATTGCTAGCTTAACTGGGTGGTCAAGGAAGGCCTACCTAAAGTAATGGAGCAAAAGAATCAGCCCATCTGAAGGAACAGTGTGCCAGAGAGGGAGCTGTAAAATGCCCCAGGAATGAAGTAGAAACGTGTAGCTTAAGAAACAATGAGGTCAGTGTGGCTAGAACAGAGTGAGCAAGAGGAGAAAAGTAAGAGATAAGTTGATGAGGTGGAAGGGGCCAAATCAAATGGGGTCATTCAGGCCATGAAAGGGTTTTGGATTTTAAATATGATGGGAACCCAATGTCAATAGGCCATTGACATCATTTGATTCAGGAAATCCTCAAGCACACATTGAAGACTTCATAAATGGACATTGTGTTACTCTTAGATTTTCATGATACTATAAGAAATTGTGGAATCTCTTTAAGACAGGATATATCAAAGGAGAAAGAGGCAGATAGGGGCAGAAATTGGGGCAAGAGAAAGAAAATTTTTTCTTTTGAGAAATAGCTTAGGAATTGACCATATGATAGAAATAGGCAGGTGAACTATGTTATAAACTGAATTACCTTTCTGGCCCACCTTCTACAACTGTGAATCCTCACAGATACCCAAGAATCAAGTGAGAAGTAACATGTAGTTAATGTTAGGCATTTTAAAATTTCTTTGCTGATTTTAATAAAAAAATATCTGTTTACTGCAAGGAATTTGGAAAGTGGAAAAAAGCAGGAAGAAGAAACAGAAACCATTTATAATCACATCACCCAAAAATAACACCATCAAAAAAGTTGTGCATGTCCACCAGTCTTTTCTTGAATACACATTTAACCAAATGAGATAGGATAATATTGTTGTAAGTTGTGAGTTCTGTCCTTAATCTTGAAAATACAATAAGCTCAAAGTGGTGCTCCATCTGCAAGACTACAGGAAAGGTGAAAACGATAGGACAGTATTTCCCAGTTATCCCACCAATCAGAACCTTGGAATAACACATAAAGTGGACTGTAACAAAACATGTGTGCCCCCTCTTTCCTGCCAGCACCTGAACAATGGAGATTCAGTCCCAGGTGACAGCTTCAGGAAGACTGGACCCTATCCTGTCCTCAAGAGCTAGGAGTCACTGTCGTCTCTGTTCTTGCAGGTGTTAGATCTGAATGTGAGAAAAGCATCCTTATTGCAGGGGAACGTTTATGAGGGAGGCCAGCCCTGTGCAGGTAATTACCATCCAAGGAGCAGCTGGGGGTCAGCTTTGTTCCAGCTAACAGACAAAATACTGGGCTCCTTTCAGTTCTCCATGCCTTGTGGAGAGAACAAAGTTCTGTCTCAAAAATAATTGAATCTCAAAAAGAAAAAACGAAAAATTGTTCTTTCCCATCTTCCGATTCTTAGAGTCATAGCTGGGAACTAGGGTGGGGAGAGTGAGACACTCACCCTGGGCACATAATTGAAAGGGGCGCCAAAAAACCTTAATCAAGATAAATAATATTTTACATGATATTTTTTAAAAAATAATGTAAACAATCTATCATTTTTAAAATATCAAAACTTTAAATGAAGGCAGGATCAGTATTATTGATTTTTCCCTTCATCTCACGCTCATGTAAGACTTGGCAGTGCACCATTACTGATCGTGGCGGAACCTCCCGAAGCAGGACCTCCTGAAGTGAGGCCCAGGAATCTGTATTTTATTAAGCTCTCCAGGTGATTCTTACACGGGTTATAGTTAGAGAGGAACAGGAAAGATGACCTCAGCTACCGCCTTCTTTGATAATATTCCAAAGACATCGTTACTTGTGCAATAGGGGGATGTTTGCCTAAACATTAAATGTCATTTTACACCCAGGGCAAGTAGACACACACACGCACAACACGTGCACAAAATGACTGGCTGAGGGGAAAAGAACTTTTACTCTAAACACATTTTAGATGTGCCCCAAAGCAGAACATTGTAACAAGGCTCTAATGCAATAATTTGTCTTTACATTGACTAGTCAACCAATATTAATTTTTAATGTATTGTTCTTTTAGAGAGAAGGGAAGGAAAGGAGAAAGAGAGGGAGAGAAACATGGATGCATGAAAGAAACATCAATTGGCTGCTTCCCACATGCCCTGAACCACAAACTGGCCTGCAACCCAGGCATATGCCCTGACCGGGAATCAAACCGGCGACCCTTTGGTTTGTGGTACAACACCCAACCCACTGAGCCACGCCAGTCAGAGCTCAATCAATATTATTGAGTGTCCGAAGTCCGTATGGCACTGAAAGCCAAATAATATAATCATGAAGATGTGGCAAGTCAGAGAGTTTAAATACAGGCTTTCTTCCTGGTGAACAACCAATATACCTACGAGTGGATTTCAATCCCAACCCAGTCTCTTGCTATCAAAGGCACACTTAGTACTTTTATAGCCCTAGATCTACCAAATATCAAATTTATTCATATTTATTCATTGCCCTGATTCTGTGTTGCACCATCCAGGCCTCCCTTGATGAGCTGAAGAATTAGTTCCCTCCAGCTCTTAGGAATTTGTCATCTGACATCACTTGGCTGTCAACTCCTTTGAGAACTGCTATGGCAGGAAGGACCCACTTTACCCGTGGTCAAATTCCCTGCTGGGAGCAGCCTGCATCCAATAATTGGCTAATGCAGGGGTAAAAGGCTTTATGCCTTCACCCCAATTCACAACAACTCAAAGGGGTATCCCAGCTGTAGAACTCCTAGGAGGATCAGTTGAAGCCTTCTCCTTCTTCTCAGTCCTGCTTACTTATCTTCCCCCCTACTGTTGCTGGTCCTGAAAACACTCCCTAACAAATTTCCTAAATGCAAATCTCCATCTGGCAATTTGCTTTCCAATGACCACAACCTACCTCACTTATGGAACTTCCCAACACTGTGCTAATTACAGGTTGCATACTTGACGTATGATGAAAGAAATATCACAAGGAAACAAAGATGATTCAGCCAGTAAGTTCTGCTAATCATTGACAGTAAAATGATTGACAATCTTTATTGGAATGTCTATAAAGACATCTCAATATTTTTTCAAGTCACACTTACAATGCCACCATACCCATATTTTATTCCAGAAGAGTCTTTAAGTCTTTACAAAGGCCTTATGAGTTTAAGATTCAAGAGACCAAAGAAGATTGTAAAACAGGTTTTATTTGAGTTGAGGGTCTTCAAACCCTACTTCATGGTGGGCAGACCTACACTTATGAACTTCTCCCCCCCCCTTATAATCTGACGATTGAAGTAGGAGTTTGGATAGTGACTGAGAAGCATTAACCACCCACTTATTCCAACTTGAACTAAGTTTGAATTGAGATATATATACTTCAAGCAGGGTTTGTTTGTTTGTTTTGCAGGGGGTGGCGGTTGGCTCTCTCTATAAGAAATTGTTGCCATGGTCGTTGTTGTTCTTACTTGAAGGGCTAACAGGAGCCCAGAGGAGGTGACACAGAGAAAGTGGGGTCTGGGTCAGAAGTAGGGCTTACCCAACCTAGCACACCACACGGCACAGGTAGGTTAGAGAACCTGAGTATCAGGAAGCACTACAGCCACAGTCAGAATAGCGTCAGACATCAATTTAAGGGTGAGACAAAAAAGAAAATCAGAGAACAAGGAGCCAGGTTGGTCCTTGAGAAGATAAGACATTGAACAGAATCGGGTTTCTGGAACAACTTAAGGCATGTGGTTCAGTATTAAGCCTGTGAATGGCAAACAGGTGCTGAGCTTCCTCTCTCGGGTAGCTTTGCACACATAGCAGGGATCAGTGTGGCCTGGACAGCCTCTTTTCCCTGCACCCATCTCTTCAAAATCTCACCCAATAAAGATGATGGTGGAGACTGGCAGGTGGAAAATGTGATGGCAAAGAAAGGCTCCCAAGTCCCCTTCGAGGTCTAACCCTAACCACACATGCACTCGCGCGTCACATAGAGTTCACCCTACAGGAAGAAGCAACAGCTCTCCCACACACCACATTCTAGGACACCCTGTGACCACAAAAGAGCACCCTCCTGTCACAGGTGGCTGCAGTGCATCAGAGGACAAGCAGTGGGGGAAAACGTCATTCTCCTTCTTCTGTCGGGGTGGAAGCATCAGGACCAGAGCTCTCTGCAGGAAAATCCCGTTTCAGCCTGTGACTGGGGCTGACAGGATGAGGAAAATGGAAAGCTAAATGTCCTTAGTCCAGATTACGCTCTTTCATATTGTCCCTGATGAGATCACAGCTGGAGAGGCAAGAGTGTGACTCACCCAGAACGTAAGGGTTGTGGCCACAGTTGGTGTGTATGTTGTTGATTTTGAACTGTGTCAGGTTAGGAAAGGTATTTTTAACTCTAATTCTGAGATAGCACAGATGAGCCTCAAATATTGTGTCATGTGACTAAAAATTTTCAAGATGAAATTGCCCTTACTTTTCTTCCTTTTAAAAATAGCTCTATAGGCTGCATGGGAGTTTCAGAAAACAGAGCCATGTTTAGCCTGGGTAACAGACCCCAAACATGCCAGTTCCTGCAGTTTCTCCCGTAGTGCACTCATCATCACTCTGGATTCCCAAAAGAGTGATCAGGACTGGCCTAAGGTTTCCAAGGTCGGAGTAAATCCCCTTCCCAAGTGACAACTACAAAGCAAATGCTGTATCACACCCCATCTAAAGTAAAGCTAGAAGTAAACTCAAAAAGAAATGTCTGCTAATATGCTCTGTGGCCTTAAGCAACAGCTTCCCCCTCTCTGGGACTCAGTGTGCTAATTTACCGGTCAGTCCAGAAGCCTGTGGTCTCTACCACCCAGCCCCCAAATTATCATACGTAGCAAACCCCGCCCTAAGCTACCTGGAGAGTTTACGATTCCGGAGCCTGGCTCCTCCCAGCTCTTCCTTCTCTTTTAATCCATGATTAAATAGCTTCCCCTCTCATGGCTTTTGCAGGGGAAGCAGCACCTTCCACATCCTCCTAGAAACAGCGCTCCCCAGCATGAGAGCCGCCCCGCTCCTGGTGGCCAGGGCGGCAAGTCTTCACCTTTGCCTCCTGCTTCTGCTCTCCTTCTGGCTGGACTCAGGGGTGGTCGCTAAGGAGCTCAAGTTTGCGACTCTGGTGAGTGGAATTCTCTCCTTGCTTTTTCTCTTCAAACTGACCACAGCTTCGGAAAACCAAGTGCCTGGTTTCATTTTACCCTTGTGTTGTCTTGAGAAGACCAAACTCAGAGAGTGAGTAATCAAGTTTCACCAGTTCCTCGTACTGAAGCTTTAACGCGTCCTGACACAAAGGTGTTTGGTTTGGTTGTTTTTGCTTTTGCCAGTGTTCTTTATTTATCCCCTTTCTTCACAACTGCCTCGAATGCAGATTCCCTCGGGCAGCCACTCAGTCCAGGAGAAGGAAGCCTCAGCTGGCGCCGTGTGGTACTGGGAGCTAAACGAGCTTTGTGCAGTTTAATGATGATTAATTTGCCAACCAAAAAACAGTCATTTCAGAATTATGTAGCCCTTCTCTTTATCAGGAGATTGAAAAGTGTATTTGTAAACAGTGTTTGAAGCATAAAAATGAAACTAAACTCAAGAGTTCTAAGATGACTTCCTGATATATAGATTTGGTTGACCATTAAAAATCACCTTTTTTCTCACCCATACGCAGGTGACCGGTGGGGGTGCTGCCTAATGCATGGTGTCAGGGGAGGAACTCATACTGTTGGCATTGTTTTAAAAATAGAGAGTGTGCAAAGTAAAGGGGATTTACAGCTTTACATATCTCTTGGTTTCTGTTTGTGTCTTTGATTTTCTCTGTATCTCTGTTTCTCTTTAGTCCATTTCACTTACTGTCTCTCTCTGCCTTGGACCCTTTTGTCTTTCACAGGCTCTCTCGATCTCTTTTCCTGCCTTCCATTTTTTATTTGATCATGAAAGTGTGCCAGTAAATAAGTAGATTTTCTTTCTTTAAGAGGACTCATAATTTCTTTGTATAATTATTATGTTTAGAATTTACTTAAGAATTAAACATGAAGTTTCTGTTTTGTCAGCTTAGAATAGTCAGAACTTCTTTTCCTTCCACAAAAATGTTTCATAACCATGTGTTTATGCAAATCATGATTCTTCGCCTAGTCAGTCTTTACTGGGTCACGAGTAAACAATGAGAGGGAGAACCAGAGAAATGTGTCCTCGATTTATTTATAAGTGATTCACAAGTTGTCAGCTTCTGTGCTAAAGAAGCTGTATAATATTGTGTACCTTCCATGAGAAGTTAGACTCCCAGTTAAACAGAGAAATTCAGGCAACTTAGACTTTTAGTTCCTTGGCAAGTTAGACATGGGCTCCCTGCCACCATAGGCATTAAGCAAGTGCGGGGACTGCACAGAAATGCTCCTTGCCAACCCTGCTAACCTGAGACAAGCCGGTTGAGTGGGAATCCTCCTCCAGCTATTACAGTAACCTCTCAGTTAATTGCATGGGTTTGAGTCTCTCCCCCACGTTTTACTCCAGCCCAGGCTAACATCCCTTGACCACCAAACTCTTGTGGGTTTTCTTTCTTCCCCTCCACTCTTGGTTAACAGCTATTTAGGAGTCCAAGTTCCCTAAGAAAAACCTCACAAAGGTAGTTCACTTGGAGCTAAAAAATTAACAATGATCACACAAGGCCAATGTTAGCAATTTTTCCAGCTGCAGCCTCCTTCCATTAATAGTAAATGAAGAGCAGCATAATGCATGTATCTTGGCCGATATACAACAACTTCTATCCAAGGACTAAGTCAGATGTCCCTTTCTTCTTTCTATTGATTATAGCAAATATTTGATTATAAAGGGTTCAATTATATAGCCAGGAAAATCCTTAGAAAATTAACAGGAGAACCAGAATAAAAGAAAGGTGCCTCTGATTATAGCAGTAATATTAATGACAATAATTGATAGTTAATTGAGTGCTTACTAAGTGGCAGCCACTGTTTTGAGAGTTCAATATGGATTATGTCACATAATCCACCCAACGACCCTACAAAGTGGTATTCCAGGAGAACACAGAATTCCCGGTGAAAATTGAATTTCAGATAAACAGCAAATAAAGTTTAGTGTAAGTATGTTCCACACAATAGTTGAGCATCCTGTCTTTTTGTTTGCGAAATCCGGCAACCACTGTATTAGGTTTTTGTAAAACCTTGATTATCCCTATTTTATAGGTGAAAAAAGAAATGAGGCCCAAAGAGGTTAAGCAACTTGCCCATGGTCACACAGCCAAGGTTTGAACCCAGGCTGTGTGATCCCAGGGGCCACGCCCCTAATCACTGTTGTATGCATAAAGCCCAATGCACGGAGCCAAGAGCTCCCCTCGGAGGTTTGGAGTGTTGGCTTGACTCACAGTCAGCAGGTGGTTTTCTTGCTTTTCCTCTGTGATCCAAGAGAAATAAATCTCCCCCTACTCTGAAAAGCTGTTCTTGGCAGAAAGCAGAACACTGTCCTTGGTTCTTGTTCTGTCATATACACAGGGTCACCCATGATCTTTTATAAACAGGTTCCCCAAGGTGTTTCCCATAGCATGCTAGTTTGACGTGTTTTGAATAGCTGCTGCTTGGTGAAATGGGTTCCAACAGCAAGTCAGTTCTGGGAATTAAACGTGGTTTAAACTGTATTCACAGGTCTCTTAAATGTGGGGCCCCTCGCATTCTTAAATATTCTAATATGTGCTGTGGCTTTCGAAAAAAAGGTTTAGTAAATTGTATTTCCTAAATTTTGACTTCCAGAAAGTAGAAAACCCTTAGAGAACTGCTATTTTAAAATTTATATGGAGAGAATACATGTGGTAAATCCCAACCTACCCATCAACCAGCTTCAATAATTATCCCTCATGGCCAGTCTTGTTTCAATCCATGTGCCCACACACTCCTACGGTCACCCCCACTTCCATATTCCACCCACAATAGGGAGCTGCCATTGGAATGCAGTCTTTCTCCCCTAAGTGAGGGGAGAACCGCAAGTTCAGTTGATCTTAGACAGAGAGAAAAACTCCTCATTCCACCCAGGTTTTACAAACAAAGATGGTGAGTCACACAGTATAAGCCCTTCTCAGTCTTCATGGTTAACCATACAAAAGCCTTAAGTCACAGAATATCCTCAATTGAAATAGGCTCCAGATCTTAAGCATATCATCTCCACACTGGGACAGGTAAGCTTACACATTATGGTTGGGTGAAATCAAATGATGCTAGCCATCACACATTTGCAGGGACATCAGACCTTCCGGGGGCTGCCTCACTCCTCCTGGAGAGTAAAAGAGGCAAGTTACTTCTCAGGCTGGCAGCCTAGTACTGTTCTAACTTTTCTAATGCTATGTGCTAAGACGAAAGTTGAAAGCCATACCTAGGGAAACATTAAACTTCATTCATTTTAAGTTCTAGCATTGGCTACCAGGTATGAGGCCGTGGACAGGTCACTTAATCCAGCTGAGTCTGAAGTTCTCCAAAGCTAAAGTTGGGGACAGTGACCATAACTATGCTTCCAACTTCAGAGAGTTGCCTTTAGCTTCGAAGGACATGCTACACACAGGAAAGTGAACCATGAAACAAATGCAAAGTGCCACTTCAAGTCATCAGTCTAAAACAGGAGATTTCCAACTTTTTGGATCAAATCTAACCAATTCTTAATTATTATTTTTTTTTAAAAAAACTGTGGTAAAATATACAGAACATAAACTTTTTCCATCTTAACTTCTTTAAGTATACAGTTCAGTGGCATTTGGCGTATTCACATGGCTGCCTTACCATTAAAACCATCTAACTACAGAACTCTTCGTCTTGCAAAACTGAAACTCCATTTCCATTAAACAGTAATTCTGCGTCCTCACCTCCCCTCAGCCCCTGGCAAGCACTGTTCTACGCTCTGACCTATGAATCTGACAACTCTGTACACCTCGTGTGAGTGAAATCACACAGTATTTGTCCTTCGGTAACTGACTTATTTTACGTAGCCTAATGTCCTCAAGGTTCTAGATCATCCTTTATTATTTCTGAGCTTATAAATTTAATAAAATACAAATTTTATTATTTTCTAGTTTATAAAACTAATAAATAAACTTAGTTAAGCACATCTGTAACTTGAAGCAAAGAGAAGAGAACATAAGGTATTAGATAATTATCTAGACTAACTATTTCACTTGTTTGTACTCAAGTCTTCTCCACCTATAAATTCGAATTTATAGGGGGGCGACACACCTGAAGTGTGGCTTGAGGAGGAGGAAAAGTGAGGGCAAGGGCAGAGGGAGGATGCTGCCACAGTTCAGGAAAAGCACAGTGGAGACCCGAGTTGGACCAGAAAGCAGTAGACTTGGAAAATAAAGGCAGAATCCCTGTGGGTTGAATCCAAATATGAAGGAATAAACAGAAACCAAAGTGACTCTGAGTTTTCTGATTTTGGTTGCTGGAAAGCTGATGCTATCAGGGAAATACAAGGCCTTAAGCGTCATGCACCTGGAGGAACTGGAGCCAATCCAAGATGCATTCACTCATCAAAACAAGCAGTGTCCATGTGTGTGTATTCACTGTTTGGGGGATAGGGCAGTACCCCTGACATCAAGGATTCTGCCTTCAGGGAGTTTATGGGGAGAGGAGACACCAGATACAAACACAATAAAAAAAAAGAAAAGGAAATATAAAGGATAAAAGTAGAACCAGGCGATGAGAAAGAGATGGAGCAAGATTACTTTATAACTGGTGGTCAAGGGAGGCCTCTCTGCAGAGGTTGTGTTTCAGGACAGACGTGAACTTAGAGACCAAGTATGTGTGAGAGCACACTGGGGAAAGAAGCAGAAACAGGACAACCAGGCCCTCAGGCTGGAACAGATTAAATGTATTCAATAGAGCAGCCAGAGGACTCCTGGGCTAAGCATGTTTAGCAAAAATGTAAGATGAGAATGTTGGGGTGGGCAGGGCCAGATCAGGTAGGACCTTGTGAGTCAGTGGAAGGACTTAGACTTTTATACAAAGACCCATAGGAAATGATCCAGCGTCTGAGAGTGCGAGGGTATGAATGAAACAAGACTGGCTACACGTGAGTTGACAATCGCAGGAGCAAGTGGTGGACTCCCAGGGAGGGGCTCATTATAGAAACCTCTACTTTTGTGGCCTTACAATATTCTGCCAAATACATTTTAGTGGAATGAGAGGATTCTAAGCGGTCAAGTAACTTATTCTGATTGGCAGTTTTTTTAAAAGCACTTGACTGCTGCATGGAGAGAGGGACTGGGCATGGCGTCCCCCAGTCTACGCACATTAGGATCTCCACATCCCAAGGCAGCTCGACAAACCTGGTTAGCAGACTCCACAGAGCAGCATCATTTATCGGGGTAGCACACCATGGTTCTTTAAAGAAAAAAGTTACCTGTGATTTTAAAGGGCAAAACGAACGTGATGTGATAGGAAAAGCAGTAGGCTGGCAGTCAGGAGACTTAGGAGGTCTGGACAGCTGACTGGAACTCTTCAAGCCTCAGTTTCCTCATTTGTTCAGTGCAGCAATAATGTGGCTTGTCCTCACAGGGGGACAGCAGGAGAAGGGGCTGCACAAACCCATGGAGGGTTGCACAGACATAGTGGGTTGTCACCATCTTGAATGTCTTCCTATAGTAATTACCACTAGTACTGCAAATAGACCCACTGCTAATAATACATTTTGAGTTTTCTGAAGGATTGCCTAGAGTGTGATTGCTGGACTGAGAAGAGAAGTTATAAATTTGGCAGAGCCACAGTTAAGAAGGTTGCCCCGCCTTCTTAAACAGATTTAAAGAGCAGCTAGGCAGAGTCCAAGGGCCCCTGCTGAACTGGCAAAACTCCAGAAGCTCAAGAATGCCACCTGTGTGTGTACGTGCCTGTGTATACATGCACACACACTTGGGTTTCCAGCACTGGAATTGGAGGATGGTTTATTAAGTGTTTCTGGGCAACACTTCTTCCGAAGAGTTTAAAGCATGTTAGGGCCACTGCCTTGGAAACCTTTAAAACCTGCTTGAGTGTGGGGGAGCACAGTTACTCCTAACCTGTGAAACCGAGTCTGGAAACTTGCCCGTGTCTCATGATTCTGTCTCAGCGCTCTGCATTTTCAAACACATTACTGTAAGGAGGGGTGTCCAACCTTCTGGCATCTCTATGCCATACTAGAAGAAGAGTTTGGGGCCACACATTAAATGCATTGCAACATGTAATAAAAGAAAATCCCATAATATTTTGAGTAAATTTACAGTTTTGTGTTGGGCCAAATTCATATCGTCCTGGGCTGTACGCAGCCCATGGGCTGCAGCTTGAACACCCCTGGAAGGGACCACACTTGTTTTGCTCCCCAGGCCATTCTGCCATTTAGCTACATAACCTCAGCTCTTTTGTTTAAATAATGTTTGTGGTTTACATCAAGGGTGATGCACCACCCTTACACACAGCTTCCAAACTGAGAGGGAGAAAGAGTGGAGTTTATAAAAAGCCCCATATCCCAGATCATGCACATTTAGCGATGCGATGCTGAGGGGTGTGTAGGACCACAGAGAAATGCACCTCTCACTCGAGGGTGAGAATGCCAGTGTTGGAGACACAGCCTGTGTTGGAAGCTCTTCTCTACCACTCATTTGTTGTGTGACCTTGGGCTGCTCACTTAACTAAGGTCAGTTTCCTCATTTGGGAAATGAAAATAATAGCTGCTTTATACAACTGATGAGAGGAACAAATGTGTAAAACGCACTTACACAGTTTCTAGGAGGAAACAAGAGTTCAAAAAATGTCGAGGCATTATTGTTGTGGTTATAGGCCGGTAGGAAATGTAAATCATCTCATCTGACTCCTTTCACTAACTCAGTGGCTCTCAACTGGGGATGATTTTGCCCCCAGGGGACATTGGGCAATGTCTGAACAACTTTATGATTGTCACAAGTGGGGAATGCTACTGGCATCTAGTGGGTAAAGGCCAGGGATGTAAAATGCTGAACATTCTCCAATGCATGGGACAGCCCCTCACGAGGAATCATCCAACCCAAATGGCAACAGTTCTGAGTTTGAGAAATCCTGGAAACTAAGCGGTATGGGGTCTGTAGTCTATTGAAACCATATAACAACTGGAGTTACCCAGATCTGGGGAAGTATTTTGCACAGACTGTTTTGGGATTTAAACGTCTGAGCTGTCTCCACTCTGAAAAGAGAAGCACTAAGGGTTGGCCTCAGTAATCTCTGGTCATGACCAAGTCACGCTCAGTGCCTAATAATTGTAGGTTCTCCTCAGAGAGTATGTAGCCTTTCTTCCTGCCGGGAGGGTACCATCTACAGCAGTAATTCCCTACCTGACCAACACGTCTTCTTAAGAGCCACTGCACATTAGCCCTCTGTTTTCCACAGCCTGTGCTGCTGAGAGATTTTAGGTTAAGGAAGCAATTTTCAACCTTTTCATCTCATGGCACACAATAAATTACTAAAATTCTGTGGCACACTAAAAAATATATTGGATTTTTTTTGCTGATCTGACACAAAATAGATATTATTTTTGATTTATTCACACTGGACAGCTATTGTTGTGTTGGCCGTTGTTGTTTTTTTTTGTTTTGTTTTATTTGACAGCCTAAGGAAAAAGAGGTCAGTGCCGCTAACTAAAGAGTCAGGTGTCATTGGTTTAGGGACAAAAAGATCAGTTTTCTTCAGACACCAGAGACACAATCCAGATCTCAGAATCCTCCATTGCTGTCTTGGAATCCCACCTCAAAGATGGCTAAAGTTTTGAGACTGTTCCTAATTCAGTGTCTGCTGAGCTATCTTATAGAATTTCAGAAGAGCAGCCTCATGGCTTTCTTTTCAATGGAGCATCTTAGTTAAGTAGTATACGTGCAAAGTGCAAGGAATCTCAGATAATGCAATTAAATATGTTTACTGACATCAGTGTAAACTTCATCTTATACTTCTTGCATATTTTTCTTTCCCTATCATTTGCTTATAAAATAACTTTGTGTTTGACTTAGTATACTGCTCAGAGAGTATAATCAAAGAGCCAAGATTTCAAAAGTTTAGGCTACTTTCCCCAAAGAATAAAATGGGTAATCGAAATAGCATGATATGTTTACATATCCAAAGTCTGTCCGTAAATTATTGAGAATTCACTCTTCTCATTTCCCCACCCCAATTCCTTTACCCCCAACCTCCTAAAAACTCACAAATCATTGACTCACAGTGGTTGCAAATTCCTGTAGCATTTAATAGCCACTATTTTATTACATGCAAAAAAATTGAACACCATTATTACTGTAACTACAATTAAGGAAGGAATAATTCTCATCGGAGTCTGTCTGCAATGAAGTGATTTTGCTAAGCTTTGTGTTCCTTCTCGTCCTGCCCAGTGCACAAGCCAGTCTCCAGGTGTGGGTCACCTGCCTCCTCTAAGGCTAATCATTGTGGTACTTGCACTGCCTGAAACACAGGAGAAGTGTCAGTGGCCTTAGAACAGTGATTCTTAACCTAAAATTGACCTGAGGAGGTTTTCAAAATTCTGATGCCCTGGCCGCACCCCAAACTAATTAAAACACAACCACTAGGGCTGGGTCCATCCTCAGAATCTTTTTAACTCCCTAGGTGATTTTATGAGCAGCCAAAGCTGAGGACCAGTGGTTGAAAATACGTCTATCATGAGGAGCAGAGGCAGAACACCTAAGTGAAATTTGTAACATTACTGTCTTAATCTATTTTCAGGTTTTTAGGCATGGAGACCGAAGTCCCATTGAAACCTTCCCCAGTGACCCCATTAAAGAATCCGCATGGCCGCAGGGATTTGGCCAACTCACTCAGGTTGGTTGGATTTCTAGCTAACATCGGTGATAGGTCTCAAGGGAAACGAAACCTTGCGGGGTTTGTGATCTGTCAAAACCACATAACTACTTTAATTACTCAGATCTGGGAAAATACTTTACACAATTACCTGGGATCTGAAAGTCTAAACCATGTTTCGATTGTGGGACAAGAGAAACTCATGGTTAGCTTCGTCCATTTCTCATCATGTCCAAGTCACCCTTAGTGACCAGTAACTGGGAGAAGTACAGAAAAGTGCCTGTTTTTATGTTTCTTTACCCTGTGGGTTTTATCAAAGGATATGAGCTGTGCATGGATAACAGGAGTTTAGAGATGCTGAAGAGAGCCAAAAGCCAGCCCCCAAGTTTCTCAGGCTCCACCTGAGAAAGTAGAAAATAATCTTGTAACCAATAAGATGAATCAACAGTGTTGGGGAAACATTATTCCTCTGTAGGTGCTGATAGCAAATTTGATTTCTCGTCAGCTGGGTATGTTGGGGTTTAGCCTTCCTTATAAGTGGTCGCTTACGCATAGGAAGCCCTACTTCCTATTGAGCACTAAAGAGAAGCTGAACTGAGGAACAAAGGCAAATGCAGTGTCCTCTCCAGTGCTCCATCCTCTTCACTTGTAGAGTGAATGGCTCTTTGGTTTGGAGCCATAAGGCCAGGTGTATTCCTTCTGTCCTGACCAAAGCACTGTTTAAATATGTTAAGAGTCAAAGAATGTCTCCAACACTAATGGGTCTTACTCTTGGTCAAACATTGAAATTATTTGAAGAGCTTTAAAAAGTATTGTTGTCTGCCTAGGAGAATCTTATTTAATTGCCCTGAAGTGTGGCTTGGATACTGGGATTTTTAGAAGCTCCTCAGTTTCTCAGCTGACTCTAATGGCAGCCAAAGCCAAGAATTACTGCCCTAAATCAACTACAGTTTTTATAGAGAAGGAAACTCAGAGAGATTATTTGAGACCACTATCTTTTGGCTCTCAGGTCAGAGCTCTTCCCACCATAGCCTACCCAGCTTGTGACTTCCTTAATAAGAGGTGTTACAACAATTTGGGGCTGCTTCTTAATAACTAGGGATCTATACAGATTCCTGTTCCCTTGCTGTGCTTTTGCAGTAAGACCAAAATACTCTTCCAGATTGTGGGATCTGTATTCTTCTTCTGAGGGTTTCTCCACTAACCATCAGAATCTCCTACAGCAGTGTTTCTCAAGCTTTCAAGTGCAAATGACTCATTGGGAGATCTTGTGAAAAATGCAGATTCTAATGCAGCAGGTCTGACGTGGGACCTGGTATTCTGCATTTCTGACATACCTCCAGGTGATGCCATCAGTGTTGGTACATGGACACCCTTGAAGTAGCAAGGTTCTAGAGCTCAAAATTACCCTTGACCAGGTACTTCCAGTGTATATAATGACAAGTGATGGCTTTCTAGGTCAATAGCTTTCAAAGTGTAGTTCCTGGATGAGCAATGTAACCATCACCTGGAAACTTAATATAACCATGAAATCTTTGGCCCCACCTACTAAATCAGAAACTCCAGGGTGGAAGCCTGGGAACTTTTGTTCAATGAGTCCTGGTGATTCTGTGCATGGTAAACTTTGAAAAGCCCTGCTCTACAGACGTTGGCTATTTCCTCAAAAGTCAGTTTTAAGTTAGAACAACAATTAGACCCAAAGTACCTGCTTACTCAACTCCCCAGGTCATCCAGGAAACTCATAAACCTCAAAGCACACATTGCTTTTCTACCTCCTTCCCCATTCTCGAGGGGTGGTGGTGATAGTGGTGGCCAGGAGTGGCAAGCAAATGAGTGAGTGGGACCAAACAGAGGCCACAGTGACCACATCCTCTTGGACTCCTGATACTCTGGTGAAGCTCTAGATGAAGACAGACTTGAGTGCAGTGTTTCTCAAAGCATGGTGCTCTACTACATGGATCTGAACCACTCAGAGCATGTTAAAATGTAGATTCCAGGGCCACAACCCAGGATTTAATGAGCAGGAGTCTCTGGGGAAAATGCTGAGGAATCCACATTTCAATAAGCACTCCTAGATAAATTTTGCTTCTGATACACAGTAATGTTTGAGGACCATTGAGCTAAAGCAATGCTTCTCAACAGTTACTGGCCATCAGAATCATAAGGAGCTTGTTAAAATCAGATTCTTGAGCTCATCCCCAAAGCAGGTGGGGCCCAAGAGCTTAGTTTCTAACATACTTCCACATGATGCTAACGCTGCTGATCTACAGAACACACTTCATAACAGGCTCTAGTTTTTCAGGTACCACACATAGATAAACTGTGCAAATAATAAAACGTTGCACCCAGAGATTGAAAGTGATCTTCAGATTCATCAAATCCAACCTCTTATCAGGTGGTTGAATTTCTTTCTCCAACTGCCCCTCCTCCACCGCAAGTGGTCAACCAGTTCTCTGAATGCTCTGCCAACAAAGACGGCCATTGCATGTTCTACCACACCACAGATGGACCACTTGCGTAAACCAGATCCATCACCAGCTATTAACTGTGCAAGGCTCTGTGTTAAGTGCTAATGAAGAGACAGAGTTTTCTCAAGGAGTCATGACTAAAAATTACAGCTTTCTTTTCTCATTTCAATTTACAAATGTGTTGTTATTGTGGAACTATTAAAGTATACCATTGCTCTCACTACTTATTTGACGAGAGGTGAGATGCATAGATAAGATTCACAGAACTTAATTTCAGTAAACTTTTGCTTTTATTCTTCCCCTAGGTGGGCATGGAGCAGCATTATGAACTTGGAGAGTACATAAGGAAAAGATATGGAACATTCTTGAACGAGTCCTATAAACATCAGCAGGCAAGTTGGGGAGCTCACAGTGGGAACCTTGTCCCTCTGAAAGAAGTTAACATAATGCTGCACTTGTCGAAGTGCTTTGCCTGCTTCCAAGGAACTTAGACAAGTTAGATATCTTGTTTAGAAATGTCCTCCTCTTTGTAGAAATAGTTTGTTCCAAAAAAAATTATGAATAAGAGTAAGTTCAACATTTTATGGACATCTATGGTAAATATTTGAGCTTGGCAGGCTTTGGCAAGTAGCCATCACTTAATTGGTCCCTTGTCAAGTCAGCTGTTGGCATACTGGGTTGCTTTACAGCATGGCATGCTCATAATTCTATCTCTTCTGTGACAGATTCTGTGATCATGATACTATCACAATGTCTGCTAATATTTTGGTGTGGGTATCCCGCCCTTCCTCAGGTATTAGCTGCACAGGAAAAACCCACAATTCCTCTTAGCTGGAGTCTGCTTTCATTTTCCCACTTTAGATCTATGTTCGAAGCACAGACATTGACCGGACTTTGATGAGTGCTATGACAAACCTGGCAGCCTTGTTTCCCCCAGAGGGTATCAGCGTCTGGAATCCCAAACTACCCTGGCAGCCCATCCCTGTGCACACAGTCCCTGTGTCTGAAGATAAGGTCAGTATTCTGGGAAAACCAGGAGATTCTCTTGGTCCTAGAAGGAGTAATGCAGGTTGCTCAGTACTTGTGGATTTGGGCGTCTGGACTCTCCTTGGGCTGTGCGGCCTTAATTCTTTCCTAAATAAAAGTGCAAAGGTTAAGTGCAGAACATAGGAAGCCTGAGGCAACAGAGAGTAGGAACAGAATTTCTCTTTGGATCTTTATTATTTATTTGGTTTTGCCATTCTTTCAACTTTCGGCAATTTGTCCCTCTCTGTCTACACACACCCACACACATCACACACAGCTCCCTGTGTTCTGCCTCCAATTATTTGGATGGCTCACACAGAGTTCTTCTCCGTCTAAAATATCCTAAGACCTCTTTACCTACAAAGTAACCCAAAATCCTCATTTCTAGGTAAAAAAAAAGAGAGAGGTGAATACATAATCGGTACCCAACACTGTATATGTGTCCTTGAATTTACCCTTCATAGCAATTTTGAATGGACAATATTATTGCTCTCCTTTGATAGTCAGGGAAATTAGTACATAGAGAATTTAACCAGAATGAATCCAGAGCCCACAACTGGTAAGCAACACTACTGGGACCAGGCAATTCCAGAGCAATGTCCTTCTCTGTAAACTAGTGGCTTTCAAACTTAGCTGCATATTAAAATCACCAGACAATTTTTTTTTAAAAATCCTGACACCCAGGGCAGTCTTTATAACAAATCAGAATGTCTGAGGTTGGGAGGAGGCATCAGCATTTTTCAGACAATCTCCCTGGATGAGTCCAGTGGACAGCTGAGTCTGAGAGGCAGTACTATGAAATGAAGCAAGCTGCTTTGAGAAAAATTCCCAAATTTATTTATACTGGTTGGGACTGATCAAGAACTCTTTAACCTCTTCAGAGGAATTGCTATTTTTTAATAGTAACAAATAAACCTAACTACTTTCCCAGGTGTAGAATTTAAGACTCTATGGCCTGTGAACCAAAGGGTCGCTGGTTCGATTCCTAGTCAGGGCACATGTCTGGGTTGCAGGCCAGACCCCCAGTAGGGGGCACACGAGAGGCAACCATACATTGATGTTTCCCTCCCTCTCTTTCTCCTTCCCTTCCCCGCTGTCTAAAAATAAATAAAGAACATATTTTAAAATAAATGTTAGTTAAAAAAAAAGAATGTAAGACTATATGAAGGAAATAATTGGGGACAAGGAATCCTTCTAATCCCTCTGCCACATTAAAAACATGGTCATCTCACCTCTCTATGGCCGCAGCTTACCATGACCACTGGACCCAGACTCTTGCTCAGTGACCTCTCAGGTAGTTACTCTTCTTTTTGACCTAATTGCTATATCTTGTGACTTAAAAATTTTCCCCAAATGCTTTATAGAAACATCTCAACACTGTCAACCTCAGTCTAGGTAAATATGCTCCAACCAGTTTTTCTGGTGTTTCTTAGGAGGACAGGATTACTTATTTATGCATCTTTCCATCACATAATTAGGAGTGAAGTATTATGATTATCAGTGTTCTCAAGAGTTTATGAATATATTCTTCCAAAAAGGAAAAAAGTCACTTTTTGCTGCCTTTTCCACTTAGATAAAGACTGGAGAGAGCAACTTTAACCAAGTAGGCCGAGGTAGCTGTGAAACCCTTAATCCTGAAAGACAGTAATTACGTTAAATAGTAAGGGGAATACAGCTGCTATTAGAAGAGGAAGAGGAAAATGGGGAGAATGTGGGAGAGTAAGAGAGAAATGAGTAAGATTACCTACCTAGACCTTCCAGCTACCTACTCACTAAAATGAAAACAGATCTCTTTAGTATCAACTAAGAAATCTAACAAAATCAATCAATCAACACAAAGTTATTCCCAGAGCTGTGCTAAGTGCTGTGGAGAAATATAAGAGAACTAGGAAGCCAGGTTTCTTTGTTAATTTATAATCCATTTGATGAAAAAAGTTTCATATATGTGAAATGTGTAGCATGTAAGAGGGTGGGCAATGATTTCAAATACAAGCTGTACGTGCTGAAGGGATTCAGAGAATGAGATATACATGGAGCTACCAAAGGGCAGTCATTCAAGTCTTCAGGGAGAGAGTAAGAACTTGAACAAGACCTTGGAGGAGGGATAGGAAAGAGAGGAAGGCAGTGGAAAGCATGTCAGGGAGTGAATACACAGAGCGCTTGCCCTTCTGAGTTCAGAGTTCACATTTAGGAAGAATGTTGGGTACAGATTAGATAATCCAAATTTAACAGCCAGGAAAGATCATGAGGCTGAAAGGCAGCATCCAGTAAAAGCCTCAAAGGTGGGAAAACCTAGGTTTGATAGCCAACTAATTCAGACACTCGACCTTGAGTAACCCTGCACCTCAGTTTCCTTTTCTGTAAAACGGGAACAGTATCCACCTAACTTCTTCATAGGGATTTGAGAAAAGAAGTTAGTTAAGAAGTGGAACAGACTTTGTAAACTGCAAAATGCTGGGCAGATGTTTGGGTATTATTCTATACATTTTCATCCTGACTCTTCAATGTGTGGAATGAGAAAGCTAAAGTCTAGAAAAGTTAAATAATTCATTGAAACCTAAACCTTTCAATGAACAGCCCTGTGTTTTTCCCCTCAACAATGTCTTTTCTAAACTGTGGAAAATTTTGAAAGCCATATAAGGAAATTTAGGTGTAAAGCAGTAGATATAAAAGTATACCTTCTTTAGAAAGTCAACTGTAATTGAAAAATAAAATTAAATAAATTTTCTTCTACAAGTGTAACACCCACACACTGAGTGGTGCTTCGAGGCATTTGTCTGACAATGGCTGGGGAAGAAAGATACTTGAGCCTCTGAGAATAACTGTTGAAGCAATTCAGCAATGAGGAAACGAAGGCCTGAAATGAGATGGTGTAGACGTTAGGGGAAGGAAAGAGAGGGAAGACAAGTGACACACAGAATCAGAAATGACAGGAAGCAACTTAATTAAAAAAAAAAAAGTTTTATCAGTAACTAGTAATATACCCGGCCCTGTTCCAGGCATTGACAACAAACATGGCAGTGAATAAATTAGTCAAGATCTTGGTTGTCCTCAAGTTTTTATTTTTTAGGAACTAGATCATAAAAAAGTAAATAAATAAAATAATCTCAGATGGCAACGAGCCCCTTGAAGGGAATAAGACAAGGCAACGTGGTGGAGGCTGGGGCGGGATGGTCAGAAAGTCCAAGTGGGAGTGGACAGGGGAGCATCTCAAGCAGGGAACCGTCAGCAGAGACCTCAAGCCTGTGTGTTCAGAGGACCACGGAGCCCCACAGGGCTGGGGGGAGGGGCGAGTGAGGACAGCCGTGGGAACCCCGGGCAGAGCAGGCACTAGGGGCTCACTGGGAGCTGGGGTGTTATTCCAAGTAAGATGGAAAGCCAGTGAAGGTTCTGAACCACAGAATGGCATGACCTGACTGAGGCCTGAAAAAAGATTAGTGTTTACAAAAATAAAATAAAAAGGATTCATGGAGCCTCTCCTGGAGAATGAAATGTGAAGGTAGAAAGAGTGGGCACCCACTGACCAAGCAGGTTGCTCTTGCAGTAGTTGAAACACAGGTTACAGTGGCTTGGGCTGGGAAGGGGAAATGAAGATAAACAGAAGGGGTCTATTCTGGAAATGTTTTAAAAGCAAACAAGCAAAAGTGGTGAGTTTCTGAAGCAGAATGATAAATGTTGCCGTTGGCAGAAGTAGAGAGATCGCGAAGAGGAAATGGTTGAAAATGAAGAAGTTGAGTTCAGCTTCGTACACGTTAAATTTGAGGAAGAAGAGAACCACCCAAGTAGTGATATCCTCCAAGGGCTGGCCTAGCCACAGATGGAAAGTAAGAGCAACAAAATAAACCTGGGAGTCACCAACCTGTTGAAGCGACAAAAGATTGCTGAATTTAAACTCATTTTAGCACGATCACTTTGTCCTCGTTATAGGCTTTTAAATATATTTTTATATTGATTTAATATGTGCCCTTCTTTCAGCAATCTGTGAATTGACAGGAATTAAGTCAATGAATGGTTAATTGATCTCTCTACATTCTTTCAAGAACCCATAACTCATTTTCTCTGTACTCATGCACACCTAGAAATAAAGAGTCAGGGGAAAAAAGCAAGATAGTGGTGACTATTTCACATGGAAAACCAGGAAGTGTAAATATTTACCAACAGCACAGTCCTATTTAGGCAAATTTGTGAAATAAAAAATAAAAGGTTTTCAGTTCTGGGTACATATCCTACTATTTAAGACCTGCAGACCATTTATTTCTTGTCCCTCAACTTTAGAATTTCTGTGCATCTCAAAACACATTTGAATCTTTTATTAAGATCCCTTTGCATGTTTAAAATATGGCTGTAGCATCTTTAGCAAAGTTCTTCTGACTTATAAAGGCTTTGTGATTTTTCTTTCTTCCTCAGTTGCTATACATGCCTTTCAGGAACTGCCCTCGTTTTCTCGAACTTCAGAAAGAGACTTTGAAATCGGAGGAATTCCAGAAGAGGCTGCGCCCTTATAAGGTTAAAAAATGACGTCATTTGGTGGAGTGACTGTGAGGGCCAAGGCAAAGGATGAAGCTGCAACTTCTTCAAAGTGTGGGCGGGACGTGTCTGCAGTGGCTGGTTATGGCAGTGGGTTAGATTGTTTAATGAAAGTCACTCATCACTGCATGGTCCCCACCGCTGTGCTGGGGCCATGAGTCAGTAAAGAAGCCAGTCCCTTTGGGATCTTATTCCCATGTCTCGAAGAGGGGTCAGCTGACAGTGTGTGTCTGGCTCGGAATCAGTGCAAATCTGAAATGGTCTGACTTGGTGTGAGGCTGAGGGGTTGGGGCTGTTGTCTCCACGTACAAAAGGTCATTTTGGTTTTACTTTATGATTCTACTTTGTGAAATACCCCTTTTCAAGACTATACAAAATGTACATAGGATGCTTGGTACTTTCAAAAATAATACTTTGAGTCTGTAATACATTTACGCCGTTTGAAAATCATATATGTATGATTATATATATATATAATATATTATATATATATATAAAGGAATACAGTGGAAAGTCTCTCAGTGACCCCACAGGTAATTGCTGGCAGTATTTTTGTATGCTGTCTTGCAGTTTTTTTTATTCATATGCAAATAAATTTAAGTATATTCTGGTGTTTCCCCCCTTTATTACACAAAAGTGCCATACTATTTACAATATTGGACAGATGTTGTTTTTTTTAATTTAACAAAATATCTTGGAAATAGTTCTCTATTTGTGCATAGTTTCCTCACTTTTTTTTTACTACTGTGTATTTGAACTTATGGTCATACCAGAGTTTATTTAACCAGTCTCCATTGATGGAAATCTGGGTCATTTCCAATCTTTTACTTTTATAGCTGCCTGGATATCTTGTGCATATAAATAAGTTCATAAGTGTATCAGGAATAATATCCCAGAAGTAAAATTCTGGAGCAATTTAAAATATTATCAAGTTACCCTCAAGACAAACGTTATGCCAAACCCTACTCCTATCAACAATGCATGAAAAGCAGCTGGTTCTCCGTCGTCTGTCAACCGCCTGCAGACAACGTTAGGGATGCTTGCCAATCTACTCAGGGAAAAACCGTATCACTAGAAATGTCTCCTCCCAAACCAGGAAGGAGACAGGGAAGCACAGTGTCACTACGACACTGTGCTTCAGTGAACTCTGGGTGTCTTCATCAAGGTTAATGCTATTTGTTTCACGAACATATGCTTGGGGTAATATTGGCAAACTGTTTCCTAGAAAATGTGTCCATCAGACAATATCTTCCAAAGCGCTTCCCAGAAACTGCTGCCTATGTCAGCGGGCAGATAGCTGAACAGTGAGTCTCATTATCACGACAATGTAAGAGTGATACAGAACCCAGAGAACGGTTTGCATCCTGCACACATTTCACGCCCACAGCCGGAGGCCAGGTCCTGTTTCCACTGTGTTTTCTCGGCGTGCTTTGGCTTTGAACATGCTTTCCCTTCTCGAGTTGGCCGATCATTTATATGTACGTGAGTTATACTTAACCTATTTCGACAAAGAACTTTGAGGCAGTGTACATCAATCTGATTCCAGGACAAACCCGGAACATGTGGCCATTAAGTCAGCTGTCGCTCACATTTTTAGTGAAATAATGAGAAATGATCAATTAGTATTTGTGAAATTCTTTGAGTTGGCAACATGATAGACAGTATCACCGGCACGCTTTTCTGTAAAGAATAGCAGCACTTAACAAGGGTCATCTGCCTCACAGGGAGCATTTGGCAATGTCTGGGGACATTTGGGGTTGTCACAACTGAGGGCCTGGGGATGATGCTGGTGTCGAGTGGGTAGGGGCCAGGGATACTGCTACACATCCTGTAACACGTAGGGCAGCCCCCACAACAAAGAACTGTCCAGCCCAAAGTGTCAATAATGCTGACATTGAGAAACCCTGGTGTAGAAATTCTTTCTCCCTCTCTGTGTGTTTCAGGATTTTATAGACACATTGGCAAAACTTTCAGGATACCATGGCAAGGACCTTTTTGGAATTTGGAGTAGAGTCTACGACCCTTTATTTTGTGAGGTAAAAGAAAAAAACATCAACTAACTTGCGATCTGATTTTGACATATGCCTACTTGGAAGGAGATGAATACATTTTCTTTTGCTTCTTTGCAGATGTATTACTTACACTTTCTTTGACACTGCAACGTAACTCCAGACTTCTTTATATTAGCTTGCACATTCTGACTTCTTCTGACCATTTTTTATGTTTTCACCTTTTAGAAAATTGAAAACAAAATTGCTTTTCTTCTAGGCCTTGTCTCTCGGGAATGCTGGGCTCCTGTCGTGGATTTTAATGAAAAAACACAAAGTTATTGTACAGTAAAAGAATAAAGATTATCCAATTTCTGGATATAAGAACAAGCAAATCAACTTTAAGCCAAGCTATTCAAAATGGTTTATTAGGAAAGGATCTATTTCTTGCTGTGTAATGCATACGAAATAACTTTTTTAGCTAGGTAAATTACTGCATTTTTCAAGGAATCATGGTGTTTCTCACTCACCGTGCTCCACCTACTGGCGGAAAGAAGTACTCTACAGTCCTGGTTTCCAACCAGCTCACTGAATCCTGGGGCAAAATTCTGACCCCCCCCCCCATGTGACTCGTACCACTTCTGATTTAGAGGTCATCGTGTCTGGGGGTCAGCAATTACTTTCATAGTTCCACTTCAGTAACAGTGACACAGTTTGTCCTCCTCCATGTCAAAGTTTATTGACCCAAACACACATTACTTTCTTAATATTGTTCCTTTTTCATCATCTATTTCAAGGAAGCTTTGTTAGCCTATTTATCAAAGACTCTTCAATGGAGAAAAGAGCCCACATTTTGATTCCAGTCTTGATTCTTTTTTCTTCTTCCTTACTACTGTTTGAGCGATTCCACAATGTGGACATGGTGTGTGGTTCTTTTTCACCTGTTCCTCTCTTGTTTGCTCACTTTTCGTAGGTCTCCACTTTCATTATCTCTCTCTCTCTCTTCCCTCACCCCTAACCCCCATCTCCTGCCTTTGAAACCGGGACCATCTGAATTAACTCTTCACAGCAGGTCACAGGCATGGCACGAGGCCCCCACCTGCCCTGCTGTGCATGTGCAGTCCAGTCATCAATGCAACAAGTATTCACCAAGCGCCTGCCGCGTGCAAGGTGCAGGCATTGCTCAGGAGTCGGTGCACTACAAGCCAGTGGCAGCAGGAGTACATTACTGAAGGCTCTAGAAATATATGACCTTTCCCATCCGTCCTCCTGGGCCACTCATTCAACTTTTAAGGAAATACCATCTAACCTTGTCAGTTTTACCTTCCCCCCCAAGGTCAATAGGAAGATTTCTAAACCTTTCATAAAAGAATAAGGTACATTCTTGCCCTACCTCACCCTTACTCTGCAAAATATGAATCATCTTTTCACCCAGAGTTAAGCCAAAAGCTATGGATATGGTAGGAAGGGGCAAATTCACTTCTGTGAATTATTCTTCTGAAAATCAATACCATGACTTTCCACAAAGTAGACTTTTCCTAGAAAGAAATGTCAGGACAAGAAAGGCTGGACCCAGTAGTTCTTGTGGGGAGAAAGATGCTCAAAAGCCCACAAACAGGGCAGTGGGAAATAAAAATGTTTTCTTCCCTTTTCTTTGCTGCAGCATACTCACAATTTCACTTTGCCCTCCTGGGCCACGGAGGACGCCATGATGAAGTTGAAGGAATTATCAGAATTGTCCCTCCTGTCCACCTATGGGATTCACAAACAGAAAGAGAAATCCCGACTGCAAGGGGGTAAGTACATTTTGAAACATGAGCAGAGCAATTGGATTTGGGTGGCGTGACTGAGTCCTGAGTCCTGCTTCTACCAGTAACCAGCATGTGACCTCGGACAAATAAGTACCCACTCTTGTTCCAGTTTCCATCATGCGAAATGGGGATAACAATAACATTTACTTCGTAGGTCATAAGGATTCAGATGAACAAATATATCCAAAGAGGTTTAGAATAAATTCTACCTGGTACATAATACACTGGCAACAAACATTGTGTGTCATTTTAATTATCAGTATTACCCACTCTGGCCTTCTGGAAAATGCAAGCTTTGGGCTCAAGGTAAATGATACTTTTCATCCTCTTTAGATCAAAGAATGAAGGCTTTTGTATCTGAGCCCCATGAAAACCAGTTGTGTCTGATGGCCTATGGCATGAATTATTCCAGTGGGCGTATGACCAAAGTGGCCTGTTTTCCCGAAACCCTTGATGGCAGCTATTGCGAAAGTTAACAAAACCTACCTTGCAGGCTAATTACGCCCTGCAGGTTAATACCCATTGCAACTGACAAGCTTATGACTCAGCTTAAGTTTTCCACTGGTGTTGAAGAGTGTTTATTTCTCACTGATGCCTCTTCTCAACTAGATGTGGCCCCTCGTAGCAGATGATGAACTCTATCCTGATGAAGGTAGACCCAGGCGAGGGGATGCCAAGCCTTTATAGTCGTGAGAGACGGGTGGAAGAAAGAAGCCGGGGCCAGGATGGGACTGAACACTGAGGCCTCTCAGGGCATCGGGCAGGCAGGCCAAGGCACCTGTGTCAGGTTCAGGTGTTGTTAGTGTAGGCCTGAAAACTAAGGATGGAGAACAAGAATAGGCCAATTATGTCATGTCAACATAACAATGAAGCAATTCTAAGCCACAGGAAGTATTTCAAGTCATACACTCCAGACAGTTTGAGGGAAACGGTACAGTTACAACAGGACACCAGCCATGGCCAGACTGTGCGCCATGGGGTTGGGACAAGTTCAGCAGAACCCCTAGGGAGTACATAGAGGCAAAGCATCCTGGTGGTTGGACCAGACAGGGCAGAAGTTTGCTCAGGGCTGCATCGCTACAGAAAGGATTCAAATCACCAGCCAGGAGAGGAGTCGGTTGTAGCTGCAAAAGAGTGAGGGAAGCTGTAACCAGAAAAATAGCTATTGAGGCATCTAAAGTCAGGATGGTCGAGAGCAACTCCATACAAGGCGTACAAAGTAGCTTGTAGCAAACACTTTAGGACAGTGGTTATTAATGATGTAACGAAGTTGCAGGCCTGCTGTTGCAAAAGTCTTAATTGCATGGCACAGAGGCAGACCCAAGAGAAGTGTGCAAGTCTTTACTCCATGCTAAGTGCAAGAGCCAGCCTTTTGGGAAGAGAGAGCATCCAGAGATGAGTCTTTAATGGGATCTGGTACATTGGGGGAAATTCCCAGGTAGAACACAGACTGTGTGTACAGATGGAGCCCAGGAAGCAGCTCAGCCTTATGTACTGAACAACAAAATGATGCAGAGGGTGAAATTCAGGTCTCGTAGGCTGTGTAAGCACCAGGCCTCACACATGGACCACCAGGTGCCAGCGTTATGACGCGATATCAAGCCCCTTTAGATAGTGGAGGCAGGACTCTGGATTTATTTCTTCCAACCTAGTCATAATGGGCTGGGGGATTTAAGCCCTTGCTACTGAAAATGCAGCCCAAGGACCAGCCACACCAGCTATCATCTGACTAGGAATGCAAAACCTCAGGCCCCACCCCAAACCAGGTGAATCAGAGTATGCATTTTAATCAAAATCCTAAGAACCTCATCTGTACATTAAAGTTGCAGGAACACTTTTCTAGCCACAAGAGATGGTGGAGGAAAGAGTAAAAAATCCCGGCCAGAGTTGTCAACAGCCCAATAGTAGCTGCAACGGTCTGTCTATGAACAAAAGATGGGGTTTACCCTACCAGCTTGCTCCTGTTTTTCTCTTTTTTTTTTTCATTTGGTGACTAGAGGTTGTATTTCACGGAAGCCACTTCCCCTCTCTGGGTCTCAGTTTTCCCCTCCTATGTGTATGCTGAACGAGACTCTGTCTATTAGAGTCCCTCCCTAAGGTGTTCCCTCGGCCTTGGACACTAAGGGCTGGCCCTCATGTGGATGCACCTGTCCTGTTTTCTGGAGGAAGTCCAACACTGTGGATACACTGGAAATTGTTTGCTGAGTGATGCCTGACGAAGCACAAGTTCAGTCCATTGTGCCAACCTGGCTGGGCAAGAGAGACTGGTTGGCCACGTGCTTGTTGCATGATGAAGAGGTGGGACGCTATCCAGCAGAGAAAACACATACTATCTGAGTGACACGGAGTCCTGTGGGGACAGCAGGACGTTGACTAGCACCTTCCCACCTTCACCAACACTTTTTGTTCTGTCAGTTTCAGGGGTGACGCTGTTGGGTGACAGTCTCCTTATCCTCCCCCCCACAACATACACACCCCAAGAAAATCCCTGCAGTGCATTTAGAAATGTATGGCTAGTCATATCCATATTCATGGAAACCTCTTCTAGCTCTAGACCAGGGGTTAGCAAACTACACCCTGCATTTCCAAATGCAGCCCGCTGCCTACTTTTCGTGAGTAAAATGTCACTGAAACTCAGCCACGCTCATTCTTAGGTTGTGTCTATGGCTGCCTCTGTGCCTCCACCCAGGAGTGCACCGTTGTGGCAGGCGGACAAAGCCTAAAATAGTTATTGCCTGGTCCTTCACGGAAGAATGTTGCCGATCCGTGCTGTAGCCCAAGAGTGAGGGAAGTGGTGTTCATGTCTTCTAACCAATGGCATTTTGTCCAGTTTATGCAGATTTAATCAATGGCGCCACAGGGATCTCAGAAGCTGGCTCGTTGGACCGCACGGTCTAATGACTAAGAGTAAGCGTTCTCAGGTCGGATGTGCTGGGTCCAGAGACGCTCAGCCTGCCTGCTCCCAGTTGTGTGATCTTGGACAAGCCGCCGAATCTCTCTGGGTCCCAGTTTTCCCCTCCTATAAAACATCATTACTGGGATGCCAGAGCCTGGGGATAATGGTGATAGTTCTCCCTAGCTTCTCCTAAAACAATGTGGGCAATCACTCCAGACCAAGAGCCAGTATCATTCCGTTACCGACACTGAAGGCTGCTGCAGAAGCACCTGTTGACGAGGGTCAAGTCGATGAAGATTGTGGTAACTCACAGAAACTTGGCCACAGGGTGTAGTACCGATGTGGCATGAAGATAAAGCTAAAGTCTGCAAAGGGCTCCCTGAAGGCAGCCTTCCCCGGGACGGGGATGTGGACCTGCTGGAGATGGAGCATCCAGCTGCTTCTGTTCTTAAAGTCCCAGCATCCACAGAGAGCAGGTCACTTCCCTCCATAATTATCCCTTACTGTGCGTATCGGTATACAGACCAATGAAGTCTCTTCTTACTTTCTCGTGAGCTTTGTGAGGACAGGAAACGTGTCTGATTCACTTAGCAAAGTACCTGGCCCATTGCGACTGCTCAGTACATGTCTGTTAACAGCAATGTCCTGCTCATTAAAAAAACAAAAACCAAAAATGGGTCAATCTCAAAACAAGCGAGCACATGTGTAACAGAGAGACCACCAATAAGGACAGACGGGGGCTTCAAGTGATGGTGCTGGAAGTCCCTGATGCAACATGCCCCCCAAACAAACGGCACCTGGCACCTCAAGGAACCTCTCAGCCATTAGTGTCTGCGGACAAGGTCGAGACCGGGCTGTGCACCTGCCCTTCTCCACCCCGGGAGCAACAACTGTGAAGGGCAGAAGCTGCCATCTCTGCAGACACGTGAAAGCTGAAGAAGCTGGAGGTCCCCCTAATCGTGGCACCCAGGGGAACCTGCGGAAATGGTCCCCAGGAAACAGTCCATGCACAGTACAGACAACTAGAGAGCTGCTTTCTCCCCAGGTTTCAAACAGGTCCGGTTGGCAGAGAGTGGAAGTGAGAGGTGAAGGCAGAGACATGCATGTCCTGCTGTCATTTCAGGCCTGCCCTGGAGGGGAGAATATTGGCTAATAGCTCTGAAAAAACAAAAAAAAATGCCATCTGAAATCACATCCAAATTCCTCAGCCACCTAACCTGAGCTTTAACAAAATCTGGTGTAGTAGTCAAGTCCCAGCATGCCAGGCTGGCTCTCTTTCCCCAACTGTGTGAGGCACTGATGTCTCCGGGCCTCAGCTTCCCCACCTAGAAAAGGGTACAAGTCAGGATTCAGGGACATAATGTATGTAAGTCACGCTGCTAGCACACTGCAGATGCTCAGCCAGAATTAGTTCTTCCCCTTCCTTCTTAGAGTCTTGATCATGGCAGAGAGAATCATTAAGTATGAATTCACTGAAAGCTTATTGACTAAAGTAGAAGCCTGTGTTTGGTCCAGCTCCATGGTTGACCTATCTCTTTAAGGTGTCCTGGTCGGTGAGATCCTCCAGCACATGGAGAGGGCAACTCAGCCATCGAACCACAGAAAACTCGTCATGTATTCTGCGGTAAGTGTTTTTGATTCCACTCAACCCTCCATTTGTAATCTCTTGGGGGTGGGGGCCTCCTCTTCTTCATCATCATTTCCCTATTGTCCAGGAGATGGTAGACATCCATACAAAGCTTTTAAAACTAAATACGTGATTCTGGCCCTGGAGGAATTCATGCTTTAATACTAACAAGAAGCTGAGTAAACATAAAAACACCGTGCGAAGCAATATAGAAGCGCCACACAAGCCGGGGCTTTGGTACCTCAGAAAAGAAAAGCAATCACTTCTTTTCCAAACCAGGGCATCAGCAGGGGAGGAAAAGCTGAGTGTGCAGGACTTGAACTGGATGAGCTGGGATGTGGGTGGAGGGTAATGACCTGGAAGGTAAAGCCACAGATAAAGGCAGTGTTTCAAGCCTTGATGAGGAGGAGGAAGTTGGAACCTTGAACAGGAGTGGTCTTGGGCCAGGTGAATGGACCGATTAAACAACTGGGTTTGAAATGCCCGGGGGCATCCACGTAGAAAACTCCAGATGGCAAAGGAACAGGTAGAACAGGGAGAGAGAAAGTGAGTTGCAGCTTGAAGTTAGAGCTGCATTTGGGTCCAGGAAGAAAAGAGAGAGAGATCCATCTTGGAGCAGGAGAGACAGGGCAAGAGACACAGCTGGAGGCGAGTGCAGGGCCCGTGGGCTGAAATGCCTGCCCGAGGGGTCCGGGATGAGCAGGGAAACTGGACGTGGAATGCTGACTCGGTCTGTCACCCACTGTGTGCATGACAGAGGATCTCTCGGATGTGGTTCGGCTGGAGAAGGCCATGTTTCCTTTCTGCACGGAGAGGGAAGAGGTGGTTGAGGATACAGGGAACTCTGTTTATCGTCAGGGCTTCTAAATGGTACACTCGTAGACTAGAGAAAGAAGAGCTCAGGAGCACAGTGCTTTCTCGAGAGACAAAGGCCTGAAAAGTCAATCACACGAGTTTCTCCAGTTCCTTCTTTTTTATTGAATTTATTGAGGTGACACTGGTTAATAAAATTATATAGGTTTCAGATATACAATGCTTCATCTGTATATTGAATTGAGTGTTTACCGCCCCAAGTCAAGTCTCCTTCCATCCCCATTCTAGTTTCTAATCTGGTTTCTATTTCTAACGTGCGTGACTTCTGGGAAGCCATGTGTGTGGAGCGCCATTTCTTTCTGCAGCAAACCAGTCCTCGCGCATTTTGAGTATGTGTACACGGCAACATAGTTCAGGCAAACAAATGTTATACCCATCTGCTGTGTATGGAGGTGGGGGAGTTCCTAAAGCTAGGGAGACAACCAGTGACAAAACCAGCCCCCTCTGCCTCCCAGCCACTCTGCGGTAAACACTGAACAATTATTTTTAAGCTACGCACTCTGCTTCCTTATGTTTAATCCTCCCTAAACATCTATAACTTCATATAGTAACCTCCCCCAATTTTAAAATCACAGATTTTTCTAATCTATAACACAAAAATAATCTAGCATTAATAGGTTCCAAAATAGTTTAAAATTTAATGAAAATCAGTGACAGAGATGCTACTGGGAACAGGCATGGGGAAGAAAATCACAAGACTTGGCTTAAATGTGCTTTCTTCTGTTTGGGATTACATGACATTAAGCAAGTTGCTGAATTTCTATGGCCTGTTTCTTCATCTTTTAAAGGGAAGTAATATGTATGCAAATCTCACTGCCTAGCACACAAAAGATGTTCAAGCAAATTAGTTCTTTCCCCTCTCTACTTATTAAATCATTGGGAGTATTGGAAATGTAACTGAATCACAAACTATCATGGTGCTCTACATGTGCTTAATGCATACCTATTGAATATAAGTCTGAAGCAGAGGTAAAGATCAAAAATGATTTGTTTCAAATCTCTGCAGCATGACACAACTGTGAGTGGCCTGCAGATGGCGCTAGATGTTTACAATGGAATCCTTCCTCCCTATGCTTCTTGCCATTTAATGGAGTTGTACCTCGAAAAGGGGTAAGTGTCTAGGAGGTGCTTTTCAAAATTAATATTGCTGGACCTGAAGTTTTGTTATTATTGTTATTGTTAGCTTGACTAGATTCTTAAAATATTTAATTTTTACTTAGGTACATAGACTTTAAAATCCTGTGCTATATTAAATAATTCACTAAATTAAAAATATTACTTTTTTCCATTTTCATAATTTATGAAACAATTTACCCAACCTTTTGTATGCACCTTAACTTGTGTCTTCACCACTAGAGCCAAATTCGAATCCCCTAAAGCTGTTTACCAGATATATTAACTAATAAGAGTAATGCTGGCCACTGTAGACATGAACCCCACATTCTCAGAGGCTTCCTTAACCCAATGGAGGTTTATTTCTCCCTCATCTGTCAGTTCAATGTAGAAGTTCCTGGCCGGTAGGAGGCGACCCGTGGTGTGAGTCACACACAGTGATTCAGGGAGCCAGGGTTCCATCTTTTGGACCCACGGTTCTTAAGAGGGCTGTGCTCATCTGCAGAAAGCTTGAAAAAGGAATGAAAGGGTAAGAAAGCAACCTGCTTAGGAACCCCACCCCCAGCCCAGAAGGGGCACGTGTCACTTCTACTTACAATCCACTGGCTAACATCAGTCACTCGGTCCCACTGAGGTGCAATGGTTTCTGGGAAGTGTAGCCACTTCTCAGCTACAACTCTATTGTATGGAAAGAGAATCACCAATTTGGAAGGACTTTGACCTTTGCCATATCATCTTGAGATAAAAATACTGTCACGAGAAAAGTTGCCCTACTATGTAAGTACTCATTCACATAATTTTAATGAAGTTTTTAAAAACACCTTGTAAGTGAATATTTGTTTATGTGGCATTTTAAGTTATGTTTCAAAAGGCTTGTTTATAACAACATCCAAAAGTGGCTATTGTGCAGTTACTCTCTCTCCCCATCCCCTGCAAAAAGTCACTAAATCCTGCTAGAATTTCCCTCCTTCCTCTTTGGCAAATGACTTTCACAAGCACCTCATACTAGCTTTACTGAGACTGGTTTAGGCCCACGGGCCTTCCCTGAACAGTACACTGTTTTTTTGAAATCGAGTATGGAGAGCATCCTCTTTACTATGAGAGAATGTAAGAACTTGAATATGTCACCACTCCCTCGTTCTAAGGGATATATTTTGATAAAGTCTTCGTTGTATTCTCAAGCACACATGTTACGTGTTATTCAGTTCCATGTTTATGGCCTGGTCAAGGAGAGAGGAGATAGATTCATTCAGAGGAAAAACTGAAAAATACTGAGAGATGAAAAGAGAGAAAAGGAAGGAGCAAATGAGAAGCATAAAAGGGAAAGAACAGGAGAAAGAAACCCCCACACCCCACCTGCCCCCCAATTCCTCCCCAAAGACTCATCACATCACCCACTGCCCTTCCAGCCACAGCCTTTCAGCCTCTTCTCTGGGGAAGTCAGTCTCCTGGTCCCCACCTCCTCTGCCCCGGTCATCTAACAGACCATCCCCCCACCCCAGTGCTTTACCCTCCAGATCTGCCCCTCCTGCCCCAATCTCCGCATTCCCACCCCGAAATTGGCTAAAATCTACTCATTCCCGTAAATTCTTCTACTAGTCCCTCAGCTGATGTGTTACAGGCCAGCTGGAAAAAAACTTAGTGGCAATTCAACCACGTAGACTAACAGAGCTCTGTCCTCTCCTTTCCCCCACCAGGGAGTACTTCGTGGAGATGTACTATCGGAACGAGACGCACCACGAGCCGTATCCCCTCACGCTTCCCGGCTGCACCCCCAGCTGTCCGCTGACGAAGTTCACTGAGCTGGTTGCCCCTGTGATCCCCCAGGACTGGTCCGCGGAGTGTAAAATCACGAACAAACACGAAGGTACCAAGCACGTTTAAGTTAGGTTGCGTGCGGAACCCCGCAGCAAGGGCGTCACACCCTTTCCTAGCGTGGGTGGTGCTTGGAGAATATAGCTTGGCCATTACCCCTAGGTCTGAAGGAAATAGTTCTGGGGAGATAATCGTATGCTTCAGGCACCCCTGTTTCATGCAACTCCTACACCTCTACCTGGCCCCGCCCCTACTTGTCGTAAACCTTGACTTGATTTTTTTCTGTGTTAGTATAAAAGGGCGTCAAGGCCAAACATAATCAGAGATAAAACTTCTATCAAAGCTCATGGGGCTGCCATGAGCTACATGGTCAGCCACACAGGACCTTTTGTTGTTTAAAGATTTCAAGATGTTTTAGCAGAATTGAAGGAGGCTATTCTTTAAGTGTCTGAAGCGGAACAGATTTCAAACAAAATCCACAACCTCAGTGAGAGCCGAGACGGAAAGACTTTAATCCTAGACTAACGGGCAAAGAACCAATTTACCCATTCCCTCCAGCTTTCCCACAAGAAGCAAAGAAATGAGATACAATAGAGATGTGGAGAAATCTCCTACACCAGGAAACTGACCCTATATTTTAAAATTTCTGTTAAAATGCTTTGGGTGATAGAGCTGAAAAATAAATACCTCTTTGTATCCTTTGGCCTTGGAAAGCTCGTGTTACTTTGGAAGAGACCAAAAGCAAACTTTCCAGAAAACTTTGGTGTACATAATACTTTACTGTACATCTTGGTGGATGTACACCATAGCAAATACGTGATCTGATGAGAACAGGATAATCAGGCACAACACTTCAGAGACGAGAGCCCTGTGGGAGTGGAGTTGCTCTGGAAGCTCCGATGAGAGAGATGCTGAGTGTGGAGTTGGTTGCAGAGAGGAAGCGTGATGACACGTTTCAAACTGGAACAAACTCAGAAAGGACCGAATGCCCTGAACGCCTCCGAGGCCAAAACTTGCAGGAATGTTGAAGGTGGGGCTGTGACACGGGTTCTGAAGACGACAGCAACGCATGAGGCTTGGACCCTGGTATCTTCAGAAAACCTAACACCCACGGGTCCTGCTGAAACTGCTCATTACATAGGGAGAGATCGTGCTCAAATGGCCGCTCTTTAGAGCCCTGTAGCTTTACCACATGGCAGACGTAGTATGTCTAGGGAACAACGTTGCCATTGTGGCTAAAGAGGAGGTGGTTTCTAGAGATGGTTTCTTCTGGGTGCCAGAGTCCAGAGCAGAGCCGTTCCCTTCCCCAGTTGGCCACGGGGTGACTGACACGAGACAGTGATTGGCATGTTTATCTGTGTTATTTCTTTCCCAAGTAAGTATTTGGCCTCTCAGCCATTGTCCAATTATTCTTTCTCCTCCATGCATGTAACTTTCCTCCAGAAGTGAGTCAGATGTAAAATAGTGAATAAAACCATTATTAGGAAGTTCAACACCATTACTTTTTTATAATGAATTTTGAAAAGTGTGTGTGTTTAATTATAATACAATTCCTGGAGGACAGATTTTAGGGGCTCTTTTTGTTTTGAGGTTTTATTTTAACATAACCGGAGGAAAATATATATAAAGTAAAATGATTCATCTGGCTTAAGTTAACATTTTACATTGAAATTGTATTTCGTTTGGACTTTACTACTTTGGAGAAAGGCTAAGCTGATGGATGGCTCTCCTTCATCTATTTAAGATAAAACTTGCTAAGAAAATGTCCTTGAGCAATTTACAATGTAGTGGGAAGTAAAGGGATACATAGTACACAGAATGACAAAGGTTTGTGTTTTAGGACTACACGGGTTGCTATGGGAACGAGAGCTACCTGGGTGTGGAGGGAGAGAGGTAGGAATGTCAGAGAAGGCTTCTGGCAGGAGGAGACAGCTGACCCATCTCAAGTCAGTTTGGACGAAGGTGTGTAATGGAGTGGTGCGAGGTACTCGAAAGGCATGTCAAATGCCCTAGCGGCTTGAAGCCGGAAAGGATAGGGGACTTACTCTGCCAAAGATTCAGGGTTCAAAGAGATCCCCACAGGTTTCCTTCAAGAGGCCAATTCTAAGGAGATAAAATGTCATCTCCACAATAGCAAGGATTCCATCTGTTGTGTTCTCTGCTGTATCTGTCCTCAGCACCTGGGAGTGCCCACACCTGGCATGGACTGGCGCTCAATGAGTATGTGTGTGTGTGTTGTGTGTGTGTGTGTGTGTGTGTGTGTGTGTGTGTGTGTGTGTATGTGTGTATATATATAATTAGTTACCTTTCCTCCCTGAGCCAACTCTGAGAGGAAGAGAGAGAGAGAGATTTGTTTTTCCACTTACCTGTGCATTCACTGGTTGATTCTTGTATGTGCCCTGACCAGGGATCAAACCCACAACCTGGCATATTGGGATGATGCCAGAGCAGATTCCACCTTAATTAGCAGCAATCTCCAGGAACCGGGGAGGTAGTTTTGACCCCACCTTCTTCCTTCATCCTCCACAGCTCATCTGTCGCCTCTTATCAAATCTGCCTGTATTATGTCTGTGGAAATCTTTTCCTCAAACACCACTAACAACAAGTGAAGGTTCATATACAGTGACATGTGGTCAGGCAGCAGAACACGGGATAGAAAGAACACTCGGGGACTGGTGTGTGGGGCCAGCTCAGACAGATCAGTGGTGGGGGTGTGTGCTGCTCACCACCTCTGAGTTCAACAACTTCATTGTCATCACGGCTAGAGTGTTTTCACCACAGAAGTCAGCATACGCCACAAATCAGAGTGTTGGTTTTTTTTATTTGGGTTTTTTTAATGTTTTATTGTCATGCTGTTACACTTGTCCCAATTTTTCCCCCTGCACCCCCATCCACCCAGCCCTCTCCCCACTTCCGTAGTTGATCCCCACACCATTGCCCAGGTCCATGGGTCCTTCATACATGTTCTTTGATGAATTCCTTCCCCTTCTTAGACCCAGTGACCAGCACACAACTGGTTTTAGCTCACAGAGAACTTGTCAAGAGTCTGTAATATGAAGTGGTCTTCAACGTGAATTTGATATTGGAACTTACTTAAGTAAAATGGATTGCATTGGTCCTACACAGTCTCACACAGTGATGCTAAGGGCTGCAGGCAGACATTTCAGGGAGACAGACTGTGTTCACGTCAGGGAATTTCTGGGACTGAAAGTGTCCACTGGGCTGCTGGGGGGGGGGGTCACTCGCCTCAACAGAGACCATAGAGCAGGGTGAACCATGGAAGGTTGTCGGGGTTGAGCAACTCCTTAGTAGGGCCACCAAACTTGGCAAGTAGACATTCAGGATGCCCAGATATATTTAATCAATAGCTCTAACTGCTGAATTTTTATAATTTATGTTTTAAAAGGCCAAATTAAGGACACTTAAGGTGCTCTGAGAAAGCCAGTACAGGAAGCAGGACAAAACCATTAAATAAGATGTATTCTAGGTATACAGAACCCTACACCTTAGGGCTTTCCCACCCGTGAAATCCTATCACACCTGTGGGCAGTGTCTTCAGCTGGTAGACCAATTAACTTAATTCTCATATCAATTAAATTAACCAGAGCCTTTGTTAGAAAATTCAGGATAAGTCTAAGTTCCATACTGTGTTCCTTACTTAAAAATAATAAAATTCTTTTTTTAGAAAATGCTTCCTTATTTAATTCCAAAACTTTGCTACACAGTCAGACTTTCTTCACTAGCTGTCTCCCAACCCCTACCCCAATCTCCAACCCCAGTTAATTCTTCTTTTTAAAGATTCATTTATTTATTTTTAGAGAGGAAGGGAGGGGGAGAGAGAGGAAGAGAAACATCAATGTGTGGCTGCCTCTAGCATGCCCCCGTGGTTTCATAAGAAGGAGGTTTAAGGTGGGCAGTTCCCATCTCCCCTAACACTCCTTGTAAAGCTGAGAAACTACAGCACATAATACACATACGCAGGAGTCAACCATGAGCCTTCAAGGTGGGACCCATACCTTTTCACTCCTTGAATCTCCAGGCAGTCAACAATGCCAAGAACCTGGTCCCTTCAACCAATATTTGCTAACTGAATAAATGCTCCATACCTAGCCTGACTTCCTCATGGCTGGACTCAGATGTCAGAAGCCCGGACTCGGTTGTTCGATAAATAAGGGAGAGAGGCTGTGAATGGGCCTCCAACATGACTGCACTATAAAGGCACGGTCACTGATGATGTGTGTATGCGCATCGACACATCTGTGTTATCTGACCTCTGTTCTCAGCATAGTCGCCTTCGCGTTCTCTTGTTCCCCCACTGCTGTTTGGAGGCCCCGTTCAATGACACCCCATCCCAGCACCCCACCCACCTCAGAAACAAGCCCATCTGATTGTAATTTTTTTCTCATCCTTGTTGCCATTCTCATCAGTTTCCCAAGACATAGCTCATCATTCATAAAAGGCATTGGGAACTTGCTTTGGTATACACCAACTCACTCCCCATGTCCACTCCTGTCCTCAGCCCAGGCCATTCGGAAGTCATAACTATGCTCCATCTCATCCCCTACCCACCATGCCAACATCCAACCCTAGAGCAAACCAAACACACAGATTCTCCATTCCGATCTGCTGAGGGAAGCTTAGGCCAGTGTTACCATTTCAGACTGTGAGTGCTGAGACTTCTATCCCAGCCTTAGCTGGACCTTTCAACCCTGCTTGGTAAACGTATTCACACTTAGTGGACTCCTTTCCTGTTTTTGACAGAAAGGCCTTGCCATTTTTCTGAAATTTCTCATTCCATCTTGGCTTCTTTAATTCTCATGAGATGTCCTAAGAAGACCAACATAATCCACCGAAAACCCTTTTAAGTTCTGTCAGTGACACAAAATACCGTATTTTGCCGTGTGTAATGCACATGTTTTTGCCCAAATTTCTGAGGGAAAAATAAGGGTGCGCATTCTGCATGTGTAGTACCTGAAACACCTCGTATCTGTTCTTGTGTTTTATAATTACTTGTTACATAAAATTTCTTGTACCATAATATGTTCAAAAATA